AACTCTGAACATTATTAAGCCAGGTGTAAATCAAAAGCTTTTAGCATTGAGTACCTACATTTAAAAAAAGAAGAAGAAAGATCCAAATAAATAATCTAATGTTATTTCTTAAGACCCTGGAAAAACAAGAAAAAAACCCATTCCCAAGCCAGTAGAAAACAGGGAAAAAATAAGATTAGATATACAATAAATGAAATTGAGAATAAAAAAATATAAAGGGTCAATTCATGAAGAGTTGGTTTTTTGAAAAGATGAATAAGATTTATAAACTTTTATCCAAACTAACCAAAAGAGAGAGAGAGAGAGAAGATCCAAATTAACAAAATCAGAGGTGAAAAAGAAGATATTATGACAGACAATTCTGAAATCCAGAGGAACATTAGAAACTATTCTGAAAATTTATACTCCATTAAACTAGAAAATCTAGAAGATATTTACAAATTTCTCTCTGTATATAATCTACCCAACTCAAATTGAACCAGGAGGTTATAAAAAACATAAACATACCAGTATCAGGCAATGAGATTGAAGAAGAAATAAAAAGCCTCCTAACAAAGAAAAGTCCAGACCCAAATGGATTCTCAGCCTACTTCTAACAGCCTTTTAAAGAACTAATGCCAACCCTCCTCCAATTATTCCGTGAGATAGGAGGGGAGGGAACATTGCTAAATTCATTCTTTGAAGCCAGAACCCTAATACCAAAACCAGAAAAAGACACATCAACGAAAGAAAACTACAGAATATTAACCCTGATGAACATAAACACAAAAATTCTCAATAAAATGTTAGCAATCTGTACTTAAAAACACATTAAAAAGATTGGATACCATGATCAAGTTAGTCTCATTTCAAGGATACAAAGTTGGTTCAACATACGTAAATCAGTGTAATTCATCACATAAATAGAAATAAGGACCAAAATCACATGGTCATCTCAAAAGATGCAGAAAAAGTCTTCAACAAAATCCAGTACCCATTCATGTTAAATACATTAGAAAAACTAAGGATAGAAGGAACTTAACCTTAATATCAAGCAGTATATATAAACTATAAACCTAAAGCGAACATCATACTGAATGGAGACAAACTTAAATAAATTTCCTCTAAAATAGGAACAAGAGAAGAATGCCCACTGTCACCACCCTATTCAAGATAGTTCTTGCCAGGAACAGTGGTGCACACCTGTAATCCTGGTGGCTTGGGAAGCTGAGGCAGGAAGATCACAAGTCAAAGCCAGACTCAGCAACTTCGCAAGGCCCTAAGCAATTTAACAAGACCCTGTCCAAAATAAAAAATAATAAATGGACTCAGGATGTGCCTTAAACACCCCAGGTTCAATCTCTGATACTCCCAAAAATATTAAAATAAAAATAATAATAAATAAATAAATATTAAAAATATAGTTGTTGAAACTCTAGACAGAGCGATCAGGCAAGAGAAGGAAATTAAAGGGATGTAAATAGGAAAATATGTCAAGTTACCTCTATTTGCTGATGACATGATCCTATACTTAGAAGACCCCAAAATTTCCACCAGAAGACTTCTAGAACTGATAAGCAAATTCAGCCAAGTAGCAAATTCAAGACCAACACACAAAAATCAGTCTTTCCTATACTACAATAATGAATCTTCTGAGAAAGAAATAAGGAAAACAATTCTATTCACAATTGCCTAAAAAAAAGACTTATTAAATCTAACTAAGGAGGTAAAAGACCTCTACAGTGAAAATTATAAAACACTAAAGAAAAAAATTAAAGAAGAACTTAGAAAATGGAAAGGGCTACCATGCTCTTGGACAGGCAGAATTAATATTGTCAAAATAGCATATTACCAAAAGCAATATACAGATTCAACATGATCCCCACCAAAGGACATTCTTCACAGACTAGAAACACACTCCTAAAACTCATATGAAAGAATAAAAGACCCAGCACAACCAAAGCAATCCAGATCAATAAGAATAATGCTGGTAACAACACCTGATATTAAATTATACTACAAGGCTATACAGTAAAAAACACAGCATGATGTTGATGTAAAAATGGACATGAAGACCAATGGAATAGACTAGAAGACTAGAGATGGATGTAGATATAGATATAGTCATCTGATTCTCGACCAATGTGCCAAAAATATACACTGGAGAAAAGATAGCATTTTTAATAAATGGTGCTGGGAAAACTGGCTATCCATATACAGAAGAATGGAACTGGATCTCAATCTCTTACCCTGCACAAAATTCAACTCAAAGTAGATGAAAGACCTAGGAAATAGACCAGAAACACTGCAACTGCTAGAAGAAAATAGAGAGTCAATATTTCAACATACTGGAATAGGCACCACCTTCCTTAATAAGATTCCTAAAGCTCAAGAAATAAAAGCCAAAAATCATTAAATGGGATGGCATCAAATTAAAAAGCTTCTGCATAGAAAAAGAAACAATTAAAAGTGAAGAAAGAGTTTACAGAATAGGACAAAATCTTTGCCAGCTACTCTTTCAACAGGAGATTAATATCCAGAAAACATACAGAACTTAAAAACTTAACACCAAAAAAAAGAAAGAGAAAGAAATCCACACAAGTAACCATATCAATAAATTGGAAAATGAACTAAACAGACATTTCTCAAAAGAAGAAATGCAAATGGCCAACAAATATATGAAAACATTTTCAACATCCTTAGCAATTAGGGAAATGCAAATCAAAACTATACTGAGATTTCATCTCCCTCCAGGTAGAATGGCAACCATCAAAAACACAAATAATGACAAATGTGGGAGAAGAAGTAGGGGAAAAGGTATGCTATGCACTGTTGGTGGGACTGCAAACTAGGACAACCACTTTGGAAGGCAGTGTGTAGAGTCCTCAAAAGACTAGGATGGAATCTCCATATGGCCCAGCTCTCCCCCTCCTTGGAATACTTAGCCATAAAGAAGAATAAAATTATGTCATTTGCTGGTAAAGGGATGGAACTGGAGAACATCAAACTAAGTGAAATAAGCCAGACTCAGAAAGTCAAGGGTCAAATGTTTTCTCATATGCACAGAAAATAAAGAGAAATGAGAAATTTTAAAAAGGGGAAATCTCATGAAAATAGAAGAGAGAACTGTAGAAGAAAGGGATTAAAGAGAGGGAATAGGGGTGGAAAGGGGGAGAAACCGTGAAATGCAACTGACCAAATTAAGTTATGCAAACATAGGAATATATCATAGTGAATTTCATTTTTATGTATAACTATAATGTACCAATTAAAAAATAAATGGTGTCAACATACTTTATATACAACCAGAGATGTGAAAAATTGTGCTGTAAATGTGTAATAAGAATTGTAATGCATTGTACTGTCATTTATTTTCTTTAAATCAATTTAAAAATTAATTAATTAATTAATTAATTAATAGAAGGAAGACCAATAGAATAGAGGACAGGGCTCAGAGGAAGGAGGAAGTAAGGGAAGGGGACAGCATTGAGGATTGAAATAGAGAAAATTTTGTTATAGCCACTTATGAAATGTCAGCGTGAACCCTGCCATTATGTATAGCTATAATCCACTAATAAAAAACAGGAATCAATAAAAATAATACAGAACTTTAAAAAAAGCATTAAGACAGTCAATAATTTCCTCAGTAAATGATGGATGATATATAAAGTGTTACAATGGCAAACGAAGAAAACTTTCTTCTCAAACAAAAGAAGTGAAACAATAATAATGATGATAATGCTCAATACTGGCAAGGATATGACAAGAAAACAGCACTCTGAAGAAGCACCAGCATGAAAACAATTGTTGCAAGTTTTTTAGAAAATTAGTTGGTTTTAAAAGAATGTTCAGATGTACTTTTATTCAATAAGGAACTTCAGATCATTTGTACCAAGAAAACAACATAAATGAAGAGAAATAATTATATACAAAAATGGAAACGTTAGCATTATTTCTATTAGTGTAAATAAGCAGAACCCCATTGGTAGTTGGAAAATGATTAAATAAATTTTATTTTCCCGCCAGCCAACCCTCTTCTTCCTTCCTCCAAGAGGCTACCATGAAGCACCTGTGTCTCACATGAGTCTTCTGGTTACAATTTCTCAAAACATTTTCTTCCATGATTTTATAACACTTGTCAAACTTATATACCACATAGTATAATATACAACATACTATAACATAATATTTAATATACAATAAGATATAAGAAAATGTTCCATGATGTTAACACTAGCCAGGTTCTAATAATGTAAACAGGATGTTTTTCTTCCTATTTGTCTATATTAGAATTTGGTCATATTGGTCTATGTTTGTCATATTTGTCCATACCCAAACTTTTTGACAAATGGAATGTATTATTTCTATAATAGAATAATATATAAATCCTAGAGGAAATCACAGGAGCAGAGGACAGCAAAGGAGTACAGAGAAGCATAGGAGAGATCTGGCCACTGGCCACTGATGTAGTACAGGAGCTGAGGGCTGGGAAAGGCTTTCTCTGCAAGCAAATGTGGGCTTTCAAGACTGGTGAATGGTGGAAGGGTGAGGTGGCTAGTGCTGCACCCTAGGAAGATCTCTCCAACAAACTACAGCCAACTGAGGACGGGCAATCCAGCCCACACCTTGTTTGTAAGTGACACTGCACCTGCTCACTCACATATGGCCTGGGACTGTCTTCAGGCTACAATTGTAGCTTTAAGTAGTTATGACACAGGGGTTTGACCCTAAAGGCAAAATATTTACCACCTGTCCCTTGGCAGAAGCAGCCTCTGAACCCTGGTTGACAGGGTGTTTTAGAGAAGGGAGAAACTATAGGAAGCCAGGAGATGGTGATAAGGGCTGGCATTGTAAAGGTGATACAGAAGACAGCAGCTGCCAACAGATGAGTTTTAACAAATATCTGCATCTCCTGACAAATGGATGAGCAGGAAAAGGTTCTTCTTATGGGATGGGAGGCATTCCCATTTTCAAAGGTTACCACATTTTTTAAGAAAAGGCAGGAACTGTTGGACCGTTACCTGAAGGATCAGAACTGTAGAGACTGGCAGCTGTTGTTATGGGTCCCGGTGGGTGGATGGCACTTGCTGAAGACCTCTGACTCGCTATCAGAATCCTGCTCTTTGCAGAGGGCAGGCGGGACATGGCACCCAGTCCCAACTGGGGCTTCAGAAGCATGGCTGACCGATAGAAAGTCGGAGGGACTTCGTAGTGAGTGTAGGGAGGAGAACAAAATTCTTCTTTTCCAGGGTGGTCTGTCACCTACAATAAATGATTAAAAGCTCAGTCAGGATCTTCACACCACAGTGTGACACTAAACAGGTTCAGGAGACTCAGGTTCAAACAATATCCACTCTGGTACCACTGAGCTGCTTGATTGCAAATCTCTTCCAGTCTCTGAGCCTCGGCATCTTCATGCCTAAGTTGACAACTAGATGATCTCTTGGATTGTTCTAGGAATCTATATTCCTTTGGGAGAAAATATGAACTCCCTCTATAATCTTTAATTCCATAGTTACAAAATCACTGGAATTGGAATCAGTATTCAATCTTTAAATAAATAATGGCAGTGAAACAAGAATATAGCAAATGCTCACAAAATTATGAAACTTTCACCACACCTGTGGAATAAAGGTACCATTGTGAATATAACTCTGTCTTAAAATAAGTAGATACAATTTATTAATTTATATTGTCTCTACTTGGCTATGTATAAAACAAAATGTGCATTGTTATTAAGGGAGAAATGGCTATTTGGAAAAAATAAAGAAATCATGATATTACTGTTACTTTTCCTATACTTACCAGTTTGGGCTGGAATACAACTTGTAGGTAGGTATCTACCATTTATAAAGCAATCATGTTTTTCCAATGTCTGTTGGCATAATTGGTGTTCCTTTTCTTTATTTTATTTTTATTTTTTGCCATCCAGAGGATAGAACCAGGTCTTGCATATGCTAGGCAAGCACTATGCCACTGAGCTAATCCCCAGTCCATTTCTTCTTTAAATCAAACGGGGAAAAAAGAATCAGAACTACATACTTATTTTCTTAAGTTATAATGGGGGAAAAAACGTGCTAGGGGCAATACATGAAAAGATACATTGGTAACTGTGTTCAAAATCACAATGCATTTTATGTGTCAAATGTCTATCTATTTAAGAATCACGAACATTTAACAATATTCTTTAATAAGGGTTATAAAAGATTTGATCCAAGCTGTTGAAGAGGTAAACCCTTAGTGTGATACTTCATTAATGTTTGAAATAAAGTTCTCCTGAAAACTGGCATTATTGAAACAAAAGATTAAGTGTTTAAGCTTTTATCATAATCACATTGCAAACTATGCTTGACTGTTAGAGCAGATAGATGTATGTAACTCAGGCTAGTAAATTATATCCCAGAGAAAGGGCATCTATATCTGCTGTCTAATAAATTTTTGTCCTTACTTTCTCACTATTGATCTCTAGCTTTTTTTTCTTATATTCCTATACCCTCTGTTTTTTTTAAATTTTAATTTCTAAGTTTTGAGCCCTATTGCTCATTGCTTTGAGCAGGTGCTCTCATGGGGAATTAATATCAATTCCAACCCACATCAGTAGGGTTTTCAGTATTAAAATATTCTGTTCTCAATAATTACTCAGTTCTTTGGAACTGGACACTTTTCAAAGGTCAAAATCCACCGCACTCTCACTCCAGAATGACTTTTATGATTTTGATAACTTCAATGCCTGTCATTTGATTGGGTAATTTATTTCTGGTAAGAGCATAAATTCTTCAAAAAGGCGAAAAGTGTGCCTTAGATGCCTGGTTTATGCATTTTTAATTAGACAAGGGAATCTACAAAAAGCTTCATACTCCTTTCTTTCATCTTTACTGACAGAACATAACAGGGCACCCGGCACTGTCGTAAACACAGACATCAGTGCCAACAGTTGCCCTTCCCTTCTTCTCCAGTGGAGGTTTTTAGAGAAAGAACTTTGAAAGCAAACGAAAGAACCGTATGATTTCAAACAAATTCCTAAAATCAAGGTATGCAAGCAAATACATTCTTCTTGTATTGTCCCCCTCCTAGCTCCCACACCCCGTGTTCACTGGGATTGTGGCTGGGGAGAGACAGGGTAAATGAGGCCTCCCTGAGCAACCACTGGGTCAGGGGCAGGGAGAAGGTGCCTGTGATGGTTAATATAATCTTTCAACTTGGGTGAGCCCTGGAGTCCCAGTAATGTTCGACCAACTAAGGGTTTCTGTGAAGACAATTCTTAGATGAGATTAATATTTAAATCAGCAAACCTTGAATAAAGCAGATCACCCTTCACAGCATAGGTGAGCTTCATCCAATCAGCTGAAGTCCTTAACTAAAAAAGACTGACTTCCTCTGAAGAAGAGGGGATTCAAATTCAAACTGAGGGACCACGTCTTTCCTGGGTGTCCAGGCTGCTGGCTCTCAGGCCTGCCTGCAGAATTTGGACATGCCATCTTCCACAGTCACGTGAGACAGTTCTTTAAATACATTTGTCCCTTGATATCTGAAAGAGACTGGGTCCAGGACCCACTGTGGATACCAAAATCCATGGACACTCAAGTCTCTTGTATAAAGTGGTATACTATTTACATATATCCTACTCACAACTTCCCATATGCTTTAATCCATCTCTTGATTACTTATGATACCTAACACAATGTTAATACTATGTAAACATTGCTTTATTCATATTTTTAGGGAATAGTCACAAGAAAAAAAACTCTGCACATTTTTAGCACATACAATTTCTTCCTGAATATTTTCAATTCACCATAGGTTGAATCCAAGGATGTGGAACCCATGCGTGTGAAGGGCTGATTATAAATCAGATTCTGTGTACATGTATGTGCATGTACGCAGATCTCTCTCTCGTGTGGGCGCTTACACACACACACATACACACACATAAAATTTCCTATTGGTTCTATTTCTCTGGAGAGCCCTGATCATAATGGTGTCCCTCAGAGATGAGGTGGAACCAGGAAGTGGCGAGGGGACCCACCCTGCATTACATATCTGCAGATTGTGAGACACCACCTTCCCCTGTCCTTCCAATTCCTACTCCTTTCTTCCCACCTCCCTTCCCCTTAAAATCACCAGTGGAAGAGTGTCCCTGGGACCTGTGGAGAGCCTAAAGCAGAGACCGGTATAAACAAGTGAGCATATTTCATTATCCTGACGTGATAATCTCAGAAGTCACTTCTGGAAACTTTCAATGTCTGTGCCGTTTCTGCCAACCAACAAGAGACTCCCTCACATGAGCACTTACTCTGGATTTCTCTGTCTTTATACAAACTTTCTAACTTGGGGGGAAATCTGTCAATAATAATGGAAAAACATGAAGCTAGTTTGGGTTTTTATTTTTAAGATTCTCCCACTTTATCAAAAACTACATGGCTTCAATCATTGAAAAGCATTTCTGTTGCAACCGGTCAGAAATGTGTTCTTTTCTCAGTGACTGAATGGAGTCACTGGAGGAGAGCTCAGGGCACACTGGCAGGGGAGGGTGGCCTTTGGATCTCCCTGCACTGGGCCTGCTGGGTTCTGTCAAGTTGCAGCCGTAGGAACAAGTGCCCAAGGGCCAGGCCGCTCCCCACTTTTGATTAAAGAGAATTATCACAGAAATGAGTTAATGCCCAGGTGCCCAGGGCTCCCTGCTGCATACCGAGGCCTGAAGAAAGGGACTGCACGGCCATGGATGCTCTGATTACAGCTGAAAATGGTCCCCAGAGAGTGTGCCTGGCACAAGGCTGGGAGGCTTTCAGCACTTCAACAGGGTCTCTCCCTCAGAACCACTAGTGCCACACACGTCTACATACTCCCACTCCCTCAAGGCTTTCTCCTTCCAGCTTTCTGGAGGAGGAAGGAAGAAAATGGTTTTGGGGGAAAAACATGCCTATGGTAATTATTTTCAGAGAAAACAGAAGCAACATATAAAAGGAACATACAGAAGAAAAACAAGAGGCCCCTGAGAAAGAATTGCCGATAGTAACAGGATATTTGTCCTCATCTCCAAATCAAGTTTTCCTCGTGAGCATGTTTGGCGAGAAAAATCTAAGGTCCTTTCATGGAATGTCTGCAGAGATACTTTGAGAAGAAGGTGCCTGCAGGCCTCGGGAGGGTCAGCTCCCAGGGGCTGGTGGGAGTGCCCGGCAGCAGAGCATGAGGCTGGCCTTAGAGGCCCAGGTGGGATGAGTATTTGAAAACTTGAGAATGACTCACCTTAACCAAATTCAGAGACTGATGTACAAAACCAGAATAGCAGTTGGTCCAACGTTAGTGAGAAGCCACTGCCTAGAGCCAGACCCAAGGGTCATCTTGGCTAGAATATGATGTCACAGGGTCAGTGCAGGAAAGGCCCATAATGAATAGGAGGCCATGCAGACAACACTGTGCAAGCCTGCATTCTTTAAGTACTCTTTAAGTATGTCAGCACTTTCAATCAAGTTGGAGTCCAGCCTTGGACTCAATCATTCTATTTCTAGTCTTAGTGTATTATTGTTTGGATCCAGACACATATGGAGCTCATAAATGAACTGCCATTCAGTATTTGTGTATGTGTGGTGCTAGGGATTGAACCCTGGAGATCAAACACAGGCTAAGCAAGTGCTCTACCGCTGAGCTACACTCTGTCCCCATTCAAAATCTTTTGAGCATTCATTTACATCAAACACCATTATAAATTCTGAGAACCAGTAGGGAACAACACATTGAAAAGAATATTCACTTTGTGGAATTGACATTCTCCTCAGTGCAGAAATAACTGTATGTCAGACAGAGGAAAGTTATGGGAAGAAATACACCAAAGAACATGGATTCAGAGGGAAGGTGGGGGGATTGTTCAATGAGATGACATCTGAGCACAGACCTAAAGAAAGTGAGGGAGAGAGCCACTTGGACAACTGGGAGAACGTTCCAAGCAGAAGGATGAACAAAGGACCAGAGGCAACAGAGTGAGGAGGGAGTAGAAGGCGAGGAGGCTGGGTAGGCAGGTAATGCAGCCACAAGAAGCACATCCTAAAGGCTGAGCCATCCTACAGGTTCTGGGTTTTGTTCCAGGTGTCCTGGATAACCCTGGAGAATGTTAGAAAGAAGATGATCTGATAACCTACATTTTAACCCTGGCTCCCATGAAGAGGTTGTTTCAGCAGATTTCTGAGGTCTTCAAGGATAACTCACCATAGCACCTGGGCACGGATGGGAATAGCATGGAGCAGTTTGCAACTGCATAGGCTTGAGACTCAGTGCTGTCCTTGATTTGTAGCCTTAGGTGAATGGTTTACACCCCCCCAAGTCCACATGTTCATATCTACAATGATAAACACTGTTGTACCAACCTCCAGAGAATCACTGTAAGAGTTAGTGGAGACTGACAAAGACTATGTATGTGGGCCCAGGACACAGTAGACAATTAGCTAAATGTCAGAATCATTTTTACTAAAAACAAACTAAAATCACATTATGTTCTGCTCATTCCCAATGTTCTTCACATGTATGAACAGGAGATTCTCCTAAAATGGAAATACTCTCCATCAGAGGATATCTGTTCAATTTGAAGAGAATCCAATTACTTTGAATTCATTCTTGCTTTAACCTGGTTGACAGAATTATGCTCACTTATTTAAACACGGAAACCAGATTAAATGCATACTTATCTAATTTCATATGGATCACACTAGGTGAAATTTAAATGGGTCTCTTTAGATGGTGGGTGCATCTCATCTTGACATTCAACTTTTCAAGCCAAAACTATCCATTCATCTAGATGATCTCCTCCCATCAAAACCATGGACTACAGAGCTGGGGTTGTGGTTTGGAGGTAGAGTACTCACCTAGCAGGCATGAGGCACTGGGTTCAATCCTCAGCACCACATAAAAAATAAAATAAAATAAAGGTATGGTATCCATCTACAACTAAAAAATATAAATATTTTTTAAGAAATTTTTTTAAAAGCATTGACTTCTATAAATGTATATCCATGAACATTGTCAACTTGCTTAGAGAGGATATTTTGTTTTCATGATGTATTAAACACCTAAAAGTCTTCATTGAAGACTTTCGGACACACAACTTATAGGTCATATCAAAGGGACAATCTCTTACCTCCTGCAAAAACTTTTCACTTATTTGACTGAAGTGATGTCCTGGGGGCTTGATGCCAGACACCATCAGTCCAGAACTGAAGACCCTTGGCTTCTGCAAGTCTGGCTTGAATTTCTCATAGAGGTTAGCTGATGGCTTAAGGTCTCCACTTGCCACCTTGTCCTCCTGGGGAAGAGGCATGCTACATGCTGGTGGGGCATAGGGAAGCCCCACAGGGACCAGTGAAGTGTCCACCTGGCCCAGGGCTTGTGGATTCCTCCGGATGTAGGTGATGATCTTGGGCCTCACAGGCTTGGGCTTGGGCACGATGACGGGCTTCATGTCTGTCCTTTCCTCTGTTTTTTCAACCTGATGCTTCTCCATTCCTTCCTCTGAGGAAGGTGTGTCCTTGGAAGGTGCAACAACAGGCTTAGGGATCCCACTGGGGCAGGTGTTCTTCTCAGGCACTTTTGGGGATGTGTTGAGCAGCCGCACACTGTCAGTGGCGGGTGGGACTGCTGAGGGTGACCCTGCGTTCACACTGAACACACCAAGGTCCTGAAAACTGCTACTGGGTGGCGTGGGCTGGTGGGTCGTGTTCACAGTTGTCTCTGGGTGGAGAGGAGCCGGGGTACTGAGACTTGACTCTGCTCTTGATGGGGTGATTTCACTCTTGGCTGCATCTTCCGGAAGGTTCCCATTTTCCACCACGGGTACTGTGGTCTCTTTTCCCCCTGCTTCTAGGCAGCTGCTTTGAGGGTTCGGGGACTCCGTTTTGCTCTCTCTGGGAGAAGGATCTGAGGCCAACACCATGGTCCTTTCCCTGTTCCCACTGCCCATCCTCTTTGTCTCCTCGCTGACATCCAAGGGCTTGCTGTCCGTCAGATCGTTAGGAACAAAAGCTACGTGGCCATCACCGGGTAAAAAGTTGCTGGATGTCATTTCCTTCAACTTCTTACCTATACTTGGTGATACTTTGCCAGTGGGAAGATTTCCAGCCACTTCCAAGGAAGCAGGACTCTGTTTGGGGCTGATCTGGAGAAGATCCTCCATCCCAGCACCGACTCCTGTCTTCTCCTGGCTGTTGCCTCTTCCCCCTCCAGGATGGTGCTGGCTGCTATTTGAAGCGTTGCTAACTGCAAACATGGCTTCTTTGTGTGCTTCTCCACGTGACTCCTTTCTGTCTTGGTGTGACACACTCTCTTCCTTGCGACACCCCAGACCCCCTGCCTGGGTCGACTTTGGCTCCTGCCCGGTCCTGGGTTGAACATATTTCAGTTCCAGCTTTGGTTCCCCCTTCCCCTGACCTAATTGTGCTTCTGGATAACTCAAGATTTCCTTCAATGACAAAGTTGAATTCAGAGCAGGGTCTGGATGGGCAGCACGTGATGCGTGCTCGTGGCAAACATTCAGTCTGTGTGCCCCCTCTGTCTGGGTCTCTGAGGGACTGGTCTCCTTGGCTTCTGAGGTAGATGGTTTAGGAGGACGTACACTCTTTCCCTCTGAGGTATTATCAGTTGGAAGGAAAGCTGCCCCTGGAGAGTGATCAGTCAATGTCCTCTGTGGCCCTTCTCCACCCCCAGGCACATGACCCCGGGGCTCAAGGGCATCCAGTTGTGCAGGCTGCTGATGCTGCAGAGTCAAGCTCCCAAATGCAGCTGCAGAGCTGCTAGCTCTTTCCAAAGAATGCCTTTTCAATTCCTCATTGTCCAGGGTCTTTGCCAACTTATCCTTGGGAATGTGCCTGGGAATTTCAACATCCCTTTTAGCCAGAACCTCTAGACTAGCCTCACCCATTACAGTCCTCCAACTTGACAGACTTGGTCCCTGCACACTCCGAGGGTTCTGCAGGATATCTGTGCTTCTCTCCATTGTGTGCTCTTCATGTAGCTCCCTCTGGATGGTCGGAGAAAGTTTAAAATCTTTCAAACTGGTGGAGGCAGCCTGAGGTCCTTTCCCAAAGCCCTGATATTGGTGAGGTTCCTTAAGGAAGTGGGTGTGGTGTTCTGGCCCACTTGAATTGGCATTTCCAATTTCATCCACCAGGTCATGTGTCTCGGACTCACCCTGAGAGGAGCTGACCTCCAACATGATTTGATTGGCATTTGTATCTCCCAGACTTAGGATGCTCTCATTATTGTTCTTGGCACCATTTCTGTTGTCCCGCAACTGATTGAAACATGATTTCTTAGGAGCTGCTGGGACACTCATTGTCAACCCTTCAGTGGGGACTGCTGGCCATGCAGTCCCGCTTGATGGAAAGGGGCTTCCTTCAAGCTGTGATGTGATTAACAGGAAATTCTCAAGCTGTTTGTCCTCCTCTGACAATGTCACATTGCAACACAGCTTTGATCATTTTCAGAAGTGTTTCAACCAAGCATTGTCTTGATACACAGCAGAAGGACTTGTCTGTTAGGTTCCTGCTGAACGAAAGCCAATTAGTCCATGAGACCTAGAGAGAAATAAAAAAAAAATGCATTCGTGTTAGATTAACAAGTAGAGATACTTGGGGGAACACAGGGTAAGCACGGATGTGTTCCTCACTTCATACTGTTCTTTCCTTCATTTGATAATTTTTTTTCAAAAACTTTTCTGATACGGGCTCCTGCTGGCCAAATATGGAAAAAGAGAAACTTCAAAATGACAAATGTGTGTATATATGTGACTGCATAACCAATGTGATTCTGCAACCTGTACACTCAGGAAAATGAGAAATTATATCCCATCTGATTCAAATGTATGATATGTCAAGATCATAGTACTGTCATGTGTAACTAAGTAAAACAAATTTAAAAATTATAAAAAATGACAAATGTCAGAAATTTGTTATAAATAAATGCATACTGTCTTAAATTTAAATATTTTAAAAGTCCACAAGCATATACTGATTAGAAAATGTAGAGGAGAAAGAAAGGTTCTTCTTCAGAGAAGAATATCAACTGATGCATAGAAAATTACAGAATCTGAAAAACCACTATTTGGTAATCACCAGAGCAATAATTATCTAAGTCAGGACACAGAGAGACAGTAGAAACAAAGGGTAAAATGTCACTGGGGAACAAGATATTCATAGAATCTCAAAGTATCATCCCCCGGACTAACTTATTTCCCACAAAAGAGAAATTTTACCAATACAACAGAGAAATCTGGTGCACAGCATCATAACTAAATGATCAAATTTAACACCATTGATAATGGAAATAGACATCATGTGTTCCTGCCGTGAGGTATTTTCAGTGCTTCATACCACCTTAGTAGTACTCTTGCATGAATGTTCAGTCTGAATTTAATCAAAAAGAAATAATCAGACAAAGTTAAATTGAGGGTGTTTTACAAAATAACTAACCTAACTGACCCCCAAAATGCAAGCAGATCCTGGGTTTCTTCTTGTTGTTGTTAGCAAAGGGCATGATTGGAACAATTAGAGACTTAAATACAGATTATACGTTAGGTGACAGTATTTTATCAACATTAATGCTCAGTGTCCAATAACACTGATTATTCAGAGATTACCTCTGTTCTTGGAAAAATATTTGCTTTAAAATTTAGGGGGTAGAATAATGATATAATCTCAATTTAGCAAAGTGTATGAGAGAGAGAGAAACTGGCAAATGTAAACCATTTGAAATTCTAGGTAATTGACTTTACCTTTTCTGAAGATATTTTGAGAGGAAAAAAAAAGAGAAAGGCCACATCTTCATAAATGATATTACAATATATTGTTATAATGATTCTATTATCACTCATTGTTGTTCATCTCTTTCTGGGCCTAATTTATAAGATAAATATTACTATGAGTATGCATTTCTTATGGATCTGAAATGTCCCTAAAAGTTCATGCATTGAAGACTTGGTCCCCAGTACAGTAGTGTTCAGAGGTCGGCCTTTGGGAGGTGATCGGGCTGTAAGGGCTCTGACCACATCAGTGGATTAATCCATGGATGAATTCATACCTTAATGAACTGTTGAGAAGTGGTGGGAACTTTAGCAGGAAGTAGGTCATTGGGGGTGTGTCCCTGAAGGATATGTTTTGTCTCTGGTCCCTTCCTTCTTTACTTCTCTTTGTTTCAAGGCCACCATGAAGTGAGCAACTTTGTTCCACCACATATAACTCCTCATTGTCAAGGGTTTTGCCACTAGGATGTCTTGCCTTGCCACCAGCCAAAGTAATGGGGTCAAGAGACTGAAACCTCCGAAACTGTGAACCAAAATAAATCTTTCTTCTTTTTAAGTTGTTTTTTCTCAGGTATTTTGTCACATAATTTGTGTAGGAAAGAACAGTATAGGCTTTGCCACTATCTGCAGCTCCCAGCATCTACCAGGGGTCTCTGGATGTATCCCCTATAAATAAGGGTGAGCAACTATATCAGTTAACACCAGAGAACCCCTCACCCAACTCAAAGATCTTGCAGGTACTCCAGTATCCCTCTCCATCACAGCCCCCTAACTTATGAGATGAACTTCTGGTTTAATATCTTACCATGGGCATCCCTGTGGCTGATAGAACTCTCTTTTTTCCCCCATTCATTTCTTTTGCATTGACACCTAAGCATGTATTATTTTACCTAAGTGAAATTCTTCCCTAGAAGCTGTTGGATTTTTCTGGTCAGATTTTATTTTTCTAATTTGTCTATTTTTCCCTTCACCCTAAGAAACATTAAGATACCAGTCTAGATCTTTCCTTCTCTTCCCATGTCCATGTGATCCTGGATCCTGGGGAACACACACACACATGTACATGCACAGGTGCATTTTCATTCCCTGCCGGGCTGCTCATTTGCTCTTTCCATGTCTCACTTGTGGTCCTCATCATCCACACTCCCTCATTCTTCTTCTCCTTCTCTTCTTCTCCTCCCAGACCTATCTTCAGAAAGCCAGTGGCACCCCCAGATATAGACTGACCCTCAAACAAGGGGCTGATACCTGATCCCAGTCTTGGTTTCCTGACGCAGAGCAGATTCTATACAACTACTTTTTATTTATTAAATTTTGAATATGTTTCCCTTGAAGGTACACACATCCTCCGGGCACGAGTACAAACAGCACGTACGCAAATCGATAAGACAGCTATTTAAAAGAATGTTGTGCTCTCTGGGCTAGGAAATGGGTGTCCCAGAAAGCCCAAGGAGAGCAAGAACTTACACAAAAAGGCAGCCCCTCAGGGCTCTCTGCGGAGAGACATATAAACATGAAGCCAAGGGCTCTCTGGTTTGAACTGTCCCAGCTGGGAGAAAGAAATAATTTCCGTTCAGCAGGGAGAAACAACAGAATATCATGAACCACAAGGCACAATATAATTGCTAGAAAGTGACAAGCAGGGATAAATCAGTGTCTTGCTAGAAAAAAAATTAGAAAAATTAATTTTATAAGAGTTACATCATAGACATTCTTGATCAGTAGACAGTAACTATTGCTCATTAATAAGGGGGTAGGAAAGTAAACCTTCCAGAGGCCAGGAATAATTCTCAATAGAGAGACATGTGTAAAATTTAATTTTAAAATTACAGTTGTATAATTTGCTATGGTTTTTCTCTTCTAACACTCATGTTGAAATTTCTTCCCCATTGTGAGATATTAAGAAGGTGGAAACTTAATCCAACTATGGTGTCTAGAGGTGGAGACTCAGGAAGTGAGTAGTACTAGTTAAGGTCATCAGGATTGAGCCCCAGTGATTGAATTCTTGTGACTTTAAAAGAAGAGGGAGAGACCAGGGCATACACATGCACACTCCCAGTGCTATGGTTTGGAGCTAGGGTCCCCCAAAAGCTTTTGTATGTGATGATGCAAGAATGTTCAGAAGTGAAATGATTAGGTTGTGAACACTGGAACCTAATTGGCATTAATTCACTTGAATGAATTAACTGGGTGGCAACTGTAGGCAAACAGGATGAAGTAGGTCACTGGAGGCATGCTTTGGGTTTATGTTTTGTCCCTGGTGCACACTTACCTCCCACGCTCTTTCCTCTTCTCTCCCTCTCTCTATCTTCCCTTCCTGGTTTCCATGTGCTGAGCTGCTTTCCTCTTCCATGCCCTTCCACCATTATATTCTGTCTCACCTCAGCCCCAAAGCAATGGAGTCAGGTGACTATGAATTGAAACTCTGAATTCATAAATCAAAATAAACTCTTCCTCCTCTGAGTTGTTCTTGTTGACTGTCTTGATAAAAGAGATGGACTGTTGACTAAAGCAGAAACTGGTACTGGGAAGTGGTGTCATAGCTGTGACTAACCTACGTGGTTCAGAGCATTTGGAATAGGTTTTTAGAGGAGTTTGGAAAATTTTGAAAATTAAGGTTAGAGAAGCCTCAGAGTGTTGTAAGTGGAGCTTAATGGGTGATTCTGGTGGGAGCTCAAAAGACCAGAACTCCAATAGGACTATGGACAGTCAAGACTGGGCTCATGAGGTTGCAAGAGGAAAGAAGACTCTATTTAATATTGGACTAGAGGTCATCTGTGTTGCATTATGGCAAAGAAGTTGTTTACCTTTTGCCCATATCTTGAGACTTTCTTTGAGGCTGAATTTAAAGGCAATGGACTAAGTAATCTGGAAGAGAAAATTTTAAGGAAACAGCATTTAGATGGTGACATGGATATTGTTGGAAGCTTTTACCTTTACCAAATTTACTGTGAGGAACAGAAAGTAAAGCATAAAGATTTGAAAAACTAAGTGCATGTAAAGTAGGTAACACAGAAGATGTGGTGTTGAAAAGATTATAGCCACTAAAAAGATGCTAAGTACTTTACACAGAGATAATATGAAAGAAGGCCTGAGGACATCTCTGGAATTGGCAAGATCATACTAATAGCAGGCTCAAGTGTTTAAAGGTAAAAAATTTCTTTGAGAAGAGACCATGGGGACATCCTGCTTACCCAGGGCAAACTAGGAAGTTGTTTAACATGCTCTCCAGGCACTCAGAGGTCACTACAGCCATGGTTCTGAGAGGTTTGGCTACTGCTTGACATGACAACAGACTTTGGTGTCATTCATGTGGTGCTGGTTCTGCAGGAATAAAGGATGATGAAGTTACAGGGTCATGGAGGTGTCCACTGAGACTGCAAAGAAAGGCCTGGGAGGCTAGGCAAAGTTTATCAGGGTCAGAATCCCTGTAGAAAGCCCCTAAGAGGGTGATGCATGCAGATGTGAGAAGTTGAAGCTGCAATGCAGATTCCCAAGGTTAAGAGATGTGAGTAATATGCAACATCTGCCAAGGAAAGCCAAGAGAGAGGCCATGTGGGCTACAACCAGCAAGACCATAGAGGAGGAGCTAAACAAGCCCTTTGGAGAGAACATCATGATGCCATGTGCCCCAGATGCTGGACATGGAACTAAAGGACTTGTTTGCCCTGCTGGATTTCAGTATTGCTGTAGTCCTCTCCCTTCTTTCTATGCCTCATTTCTTCCTTTTGGAATGGAAATATTTCTTCTATGGCATCATATCTTGGATATATGTGA